GCAGGGGGGCGGGGGAGGGGAGTGGGAATTGCAGTCCGGCCTTGAACTTCAGAGAAGAGACAGAAAATGCAAAATCCAACAGCAGACAGGAGGGCACCCCAGCCTGTTTTTGCTCCAAAAACCGAGGGCACCCCAGCCTGTGTTCACCCCACATGTCACTCCAGGCCTCGGGCCGGCACCGTGTGTCAGCGTTCAGCTCCTTTGAAAAGAAAAAAATGTGGGGCGTTTGATGCGAAATAATTTCCCAGGTGCCCTCACCCATCTCAGCCAGAGCGCGGGCCTCGGCGTCACGGGGGTCGCTCCCCCCCACCCCACCGCCAGCGCCTGGCTTACACGGCTTACCCCGCCCGGCGCCCTCACTCCATCTTCCCTGCATCACCGCGCGGGGCCTCGGGCGGGGATCCATCTCGGGGTCTGTCATCCAGGGCCGGCTCTCTCGGGCTCACAGGGAGTGACTGATGGGGCAGCCGGGGATTTAGAACACTCTCAGGAGGCCTTCCCGGACCTGCCGGCTGCCCTTTTAAACTATATGTATTGATGTCAGAGAGAAAGGGAGAGGGAGAGAGAGAAACATCAATGATGAGAGAGAGTCATGGACCGGCTGCCTCCTGCACACCCCACATTGGGGACGGAGCCTGAAACCCGGGCCTGTGCCCTGACTGGGAATCGAACCCTGACCTCCTGGTTCCTAGGTCGATGCACAACCCCTGAACCACACTGGCCGGCCGGGCTGTAGGTGAATATTGTAAACATCTGCAGAGTATACGGGCGCAGGGAGGGGGCGTGACCGTGGTTGTTGCCTGGGTCAGAGGATGGCTTTAGGGTGAGATGTTCTAGAGGAATCGGCGTCTCTGGGTGTCTGCTCTCATCCATGTGGTTGTCTGTCGCCCCAACTGCCCACCCCCATGCCCTGTCCCCCAAAAAACCACCTCCCCCTCCCGCCCTCAGAGCCAGCGTTTGCCACAGGTCACGTCCCCGTGAGCTTCCCACGCAGCCACAGATTCCCCAAACTCTTGTCTTGCAGACCTTCCCCAAAGTGCTGATAACTTGCACGTGTTCCTCCTGATATGCGGACTCCGGCCGGTCAAAGACCCCCTCTACCTGGTGGACGCCTTCTCGGGTACGTCGGCTGAGGGACCTGCGTGCGAATCCCTGTGGGGTTTTGGGTCTTCCCGGCTCATTCTCTGCACGGTCAGCAAAACCGCTTCCGGCCACCCCTGTGGAAAAACCAGAAAAACAGTCGCACTTGTGGGAACTGTCCTTGTTTCCTTCCACGTTCTCTGCCCCCGGCTCCTGAGGAAGCATGGGAGGTAGCGGAGCCCGGCCGCCCGGCCGCCCGGCCCAGGGGGTGTGTCGGCCTGTGAACCCAGAGGTCAGGGTTCTATTCCCGGTCAGGGCACAGGCCCGGGTTGCGGGCTCCATCCCCAGTGGGGGGCGTGCAGGAGGCGGCCGATCCATGACTCTCTCTCATCTTTGATCTTCCTATCTCTCTCCCTTCCTCTCTGAAATCCATATAAAAATATATATTAAAAGAAATAGCCGAGAGTCCTGAGGCTAAACTAACGTTACGGGGAGTGCTCCAGGCAGGTCGCTGGTGCGATGGGCTGGGAGCTTTGCTGCTCACGTAACCTGTGTTCTGAGGTTGGTGGCATGTTGCTTCCGGTTACCTAACGCGTTAGGTGTCTGGCTAAGGCGTAATGCTCCAGGACGATGATATTTACCTAAAAGCAAGAGATGCCAACATGTTTACCGCTCACAGCCACCGCACTTAGACGGACTGCGGGGAAGGAAGCCAGAAGACAGGACGATTCCTGTATGAAGCTCGTGTTCCGCTGGGACCTGTAACCATTTTTAACGTGTCTTCCCCCCTTTTCTCCCCAGAATGGCACCGGGAGGAGCCCAGTGCGTACCTGGTGATCGTCGGCCCTGAAGTGAGTAGACCCCTGTGGGCACTGCCCGGACGCCGCTGTGGCCTCTGCTTTTAGGTTTCTTCTACAACTAGTCCCCATTACGCCCCTAACTAAGTTATTTTGTCCTTTTTGAGAAGTAAACTCTGTTTGCCTTTTTTTTAAAACCCTCACCAGAGGATATGCTTTTATTGATTTTTGAGAGAGAGGAAGGGAGAGAGAGAGAGAGAGAGATCAGCTGCCTCCTGCATGCGCCCTGACCGGGAATCGAACCCGCCACCTTTTGGCGAGGGGAACAACGCTCCCACCAATGGAGCCACCCGGCCAGGGCAAGTCTGTTTGCCTTTTGGAAAATGAAAACTAGCCCCGGCTGGTGTGGCTCAGTGGTTGAGGGTCGGCCTGCGGACTGAGTGGTCCCGGGTTTGATTCCGGCCAAGGGCATGTATCTGGGCTGCAGGCTCCTCCTCGGCCTGGGCCCTGGCGGAGCGCGTGCAGGAGGCAACCCATCCACGTGTCCCTCTCGCGTCGATGTTTCTCTGTGTTTCCCTCCCCCTTCCACTTGCTGTAAACATCACTGGGAAATACCCTCAGGGGAGGATTAAAAGACAAAGAGAATTAAGTGGAAACGAGACCCCAGCTGCAGGGCGAGAGGCTCCGTGCAGCTTCAGGGGAATTTACTGCTACAAAGCGTGAGGGGCACACGGTCACGGAACCCGGGGCGGCCGCAGGGAGAAGCCACGCGAAGCAGAGGGTCTGTCTGTCGCACAGAAGCCGCCCTGTGCTGGCCCTGGGACCCCCCCACCGGCTCCGCAGACAAGCCCAGGGCGGTGACCCGGCCTCAGGGGCCACGCTGCACGGAGGGGCTCACCTGGCCGGCAGGTGTTCGCCCGACGTGGCTGTTGCCCGGGGAACGGAGTCGGGGCGCCTGGAGGTCCCTCTGCTCCGGGGTCAGGAGAGCCATGCGGCCGCCTCACGCGAGTGAACCTCGGTTCATGCCCAGGCGATGGGGAGTCAGGGCCGTGAGGCCTCCCTGCCCTCCCGGGGTGTCCGTCCCAGGCTTGCACGTGCACCCCAACGTCCTCTCCTCAAGCAGGGAGCGTGGAGGGTGCAGGCTGCGTGCGGGAATGACCCCGCCGCGACCCTCAGGGCACCGACGGGAGGCAGTGGGGTTCCGCGCAGCTCAGGGTCTCGCCGGTTCTGTAATTTTTCCTTCTGTGGGTTTTCTGGTTCCCACAGGACCCACAAAGCATGCAGAGTGTGTGTGTGGGGGGGGGGTCCCCACGCTTGGCTCAGTGTTGTAAGGACCCCTGGAAACCGTAGGTTTACCCAGGAAAAGGCCGCCTACCCTCACCAAGGTATCAAGGCCGCCGCACGAGACCGAAGCGCCCCTCAACCTCTGTCGTTTGTTTAGTGCAACACACACACACACGCACACACACGCACACACACGCACATGTGTGCACACACACAGAGACACACATGCACACACATATAGACACGCACACGCACACGCACACGCACACACATACACACACAGAGACACGAAGCTTCTGGAAAACAGTGGCTTCGTGATAAACTACAGGGATAGCGCCATGTGCACTCTGGCTGGGCGGGTCGTCATTCGGAGCCCCACTGGCAGGTGTGAGTGAGACAGGAACTGCCTCTGTCTCCCCCCACCACCGCCCCCCAATTGGTGTTACACTTGCACAGACCAGAGAGAATTTTGTCAGTTCTCGTTAAATCGCAGTCACTGTAATAACACGGGAGGGGTGGGGGTGCGTGCGGCAAAACCAGCCTCTGGGTGATACGCGCGGGGCAGCCCCACACTGAGCGCCCCCTGGTCCCCCTGAAGGTGGCTGTGCCCGGGCTCCAGGCTCAGACCTCACAGCCCAGGGGAGGGTGCTTCTCCGGGGCCTCCTCCCCCCACCCCCGCCCCGTTATCTGCACGGCATGGCCCACCCGGAGTCTCCTCTGGCGGCCCTGCTGTCCTCCACGCTGTCGCTGTCCAGGGCGGCCCTGTAGCCACGAGGCTCTTCCCGGCTCTCGCTCACGCCTGTCTCGTCTCCGCAGGTGGACCCGGTGTTCACGAGGGAAGTCAAGGCCAAGGTGGAGAGGTGAGCATGGAGGGGGTCAGGGGGGCAGCGGGAGGGGACCCCAGTGCCCGCACTCTCTCCCGTTCCCCACGTCTCCGCGGCAACGAGTCCCGGGCTCTGCTCCCGGCATTTTACACGGGACTCCTCCTCCAACCCCCCGGACGTCCTGCGGGACCGACACCGTGACTTCCCGCCTACAAGCCCGGAAACGCGGCCCGCAGCGTCCGCCGCTCCCGGGAATGGGCAAGGGTCAGAGGACCGTCTCTCCGCTCTGGGTCACCCCGTTAGGTGATTTCCTCAGGGACCCCCCCCCCGGCTTCTACCCCACTTACTGGCCACCCCTTACCGGTCAGCAGCAGGGACTGGGAAATTCTGACGTGTCCCCGTACACGGTCAGGTCTCCGTGTGGCTCACAGATACAGACGCAGGTGCATCAGAGCGCGACCGGTTCTGTGAAAGGACACGTATCAGGTCACGGCGGTGGTGGGAAGCGGAGGGGACGGACCTGAGTCAGTGTTCTTGAGTGAAAACAAACAGAAGCAGAAAAGCTGCCCGGCCGGCATGACTCAGGGGCTGAGCGTCGACCTAGGAACCAGGAGGTCAGGGTTGGCTTCAGTCAAGGGCACAGGCCCGGGATGTGGGCTCATCCCCAGTGGGGGGCGTGCAGGAGGCGGCCGGTCCATGACTCTCCCTCATCATGGATGTCTCTCTCTCCCTCTCCCTCTCTCTGACATCAGTAAATATGTATATTTTTAAAGGTAAAACCCACAGGACTAAATACTGTCAACCCCGGGGCGGGAACGCGGGCATTGCTTGTGTTCTCCTACTTTAGTGTCTGTTTCTCTCTGTTCACCTGTTGTGTCGCCACCAGGACGGTGGTGGTGGTGGTGGGGGGGGGCATTAATATTGGAAAAGCGTCGTTTTCTCAGTCCTCAGGCAGAACGGAAGAGCCTTATCTCGGACTCGCAGGGTCCGGGAAGCGCGTGTCTCGTGTGTTAAATGCATTCGAAACGCCCACCGACGAGCTGGCGGCCGTGTCTCCCCGCCCAGCCCCTCCCGGGGACCCGCCGGAGACACGCCTCCCACTCCCAGTCCGTCGTGTGTTGCAGGTCGGCGGGGGTGCGGCTGCTCCCCGAGATGCCCCAGGGCGACCTGCACGCGGCCGAGAAGAACTGCCTCGCCCTGGTCAACAGCTCGCTCTCCGAGGGCATGTCAGCAGCCATTCTGGAGGTAACGGCTCTCGGCCCGCGATCCCCTCCTCGTGCCAGGCGCCATCTTCCTCACGTTTCCAGCTTGAAAAATGCAGTCGCGTTTCCCCGGGAGCTCAGTGCAGACAACACCGATGTATTCATTTGTTTATTTTATTTTCCTGTATATTTTTTTAAATTGATTTCAGAGAAGAGGGGAGAGGGAGAGATAGAAACATCCAGGATGAGAGAGAATCATGGACCGGCTGCCTCCTGCACGCCCCCTACTGGGGATCGAGCCTGCAACCCAGGCCTGTGCCCTGACGGGGAATCAAACCCTTCAGTCCTCCGGTCATCGCTCTAACCACTGAGCCAAGCACCAGGGCCGGGCGCAGCTGCTCTTAAAACGCCACCACCGCCTCCTCTTCCGCCCGCAGGCCATGGACCTGGAGGTGCCCGTGCTGGCCAGGAACATCCCGGGCAACGCGGCCGTGGTCCAGCACGGGGTCACGGGGCTGCTGTTCTCCGACCCTCAGGTAGCGGGGTCCTTCCGGGTCCGCGGGTCGGGATGGTTTGCCTGTGCATTTGTCTCAGCTTCTTGCACGTTTTCATCAGCGCTCAGCGCCCCGTCATGGTCAGGGCGGCCCTACACACAGCGGGCTCTGCTGTGACCACAGGGGCCCCCTGGACGCCCCTCTAGATACAACCTGGGGGCGTGTGGGAAACGGGGGGACGGAGGGCCCCTGGGGGTCCTGCCCCTGGAGCAGTCTGGCCCGAGCCAGGCCCTTCTCCTCCCCAGGCCCGGGGTGCCCACTGCTCACCCCGCTCCTGGGGTTGGGTGGACGGCCACTCAGCTGGGCCCACGTGGGTGAAGGAAACTGGAAGCCAGTTCGCATCTATTCCCGTGTCTGTGTGAACGGCCGTCCCTCCTGCAGGCCATTCTCCCTGACGAAGAGGGGGAGCGGACGCAGACCCTGGCTTGGGGCGTCTGGGCAACCCCTTGGCCGGTGACCCTGTTCCTCTCCGCTTCCTCCCCGCAGGAGTTCGTGCAGCTGGCGAGGCGGCTGGTCCGCGACCCTGAGCTGGGGGCCGAGCTGGTGGCCCAGGGGAGGGAGTACGTGAGGACGCGCCACTCCTGGCAGGCGGAGCGCGACACCT